TTTAGTGTTTAATATATCAAATCTGTTCTTTAGATGATCTCTAAATTCAGGTGGGAATGAAGATGACAACCAAGAAAAGTCCATGGAGCTGTTCTCCTCTGTAGCACATGGACCAACCCAATGGCAGGTACCAAACACAGGAAGATGCATATAATCTGCTCCAACGTCATCCATTACAACAGCAATGACAGAGAAAATGCAAAATATCACCCCTGCCATCAAGCAAGTTCCAGTCCCTTGCAGGGCAGAGCGGAGCTGCCATCTTTATGGACTCCAACTGGTACATAGTCCTCCCTTGAATTAGCTGGTGGATTTGAACTTCTGACCATTTGGTTAGCAGCTGAGCACTTTAACCACTATGCCACCAGAGCTCCTACACAAGAAAAATGTTGGTACATGTCATAAAGTCAGTTCCATAGTGACCCTGTATAGAATTTCAGAGGAGCAGCTGGTGGGTTTGAACCACTAACCTTGTAGTTAATAGTCCAGTGCTTATCCTACAGCACCGCAGCAGGACTCAATGCAAAATACCATTGCTGTTGTGAAGTGCTGTCCATCAGCTCTGACTCATGATGAGCCTATGTAGGGTTTCCAGGGAGCAGCTGGAGTCCTGGGGTGGCACTGTGGGCTAAGGCGTCAGACTGCAAAGCTGTTTGAACTGGTTCAAGCTCACCAGCTCCTCCTTGGAAACCCTGTACAGGGTCGCTATGGGTCAGAATCGACTCAACGGCACTTAACAACAACAACAAAGCAGTAGCTGGCTGGTAGGTTTGAACTGCTGACCCTGTGGTTTGTACTCCAGTGCTGATCAGAAGCAATTGTTCTTGTTAAGTGCTGTAGAGTTCTGACTCATAGCGACCCTGTATAGGATTTCTGAGGAGCACCTGGTGAGCTTGAACTACAGACCTTGGGGTTCAAACCGACTTTGCAGTCCTGTGCATTAACCCACAGGGCCACACCACAACTGAAAGTCTGAGTTTTAAGGAATGTAGTTTCAGGAGAATGGAAAATGAAATTTATTGATGTTCTTCATCCAAGTAAACATTTTTCTTAGGATTCAATTATGCACAAGACCCAAACTGCTTTGTCCTGACAGCTGTTTGGATTTTAGGTACAATGTGTGCATCATGGCGTACGGACAGACAGGAGGTGGGAAGAGCTACACCATGCTGGGCCCACAGTCTAAGGACGAGGTTGCTCTGCCTTCAGAAGCCAGAAAGGATTTGGGAGTTGTCCCCAGAGCTGCTGAAGAACTCTTCAGGTACTTCTGTTGACCATGGGGAATAGACACCAGGTAACCTTTCAAAAACAGCTGTCAGGGAAGACAAAAGGTGACCACAGAGAAAACTGTTGTTGTTGAGTGCGGATAATTTGGTTCCACCTCATAGAGACCCCACGCACAAGAAACTCGAACGCTGCCCAGTCCTGCATCATTCTCCCAGTGCTTGCTATTTGAGGTCGTTGTTCCAATCACCGTGTCAATCCATCTTGTTGAAGGTTTTCCTCTGTTTCATTGACCATCACTTTACCAAGCATGATGTCCTTCTCCAGGGACAGGCCCCTCCTGATAACACGTTCACAGTGTGACAGATGAAGTCATTGTTGCTTCTAAGGAGTGATCTTTCATAGAAGGAATCGTGTTTCTTCCAAGACAGATCTGTTCATTCTTGCAGTCCGTGGTATAGTCAGTAGTCTTCTTTTGTTGTTGGTGGGTGCTGTGGAGTCAGTTCTGACTCATAGTGACCTTATTCATCAAAGAACAAAACTCCGCCAGTCTTGTGCCAATCCCACAGTTGTTGTGAAGTTTGAGCCCATTGCTGCTGCCACCGTGTCAGTGCATCTCATTAGGGGTCTTCCTGGTTTTTGCTGACCCTTCACTTTACCAAGCATAATGTCCTTCTCCAGGGACTGTGGCTTCCTGACAACATGTCTAGAGTATGAAGGATGAAGTTTCGCCATCCTGGCTTCTAAGAAATGTCCTGACTAGTTCTTCCAAGTCAGAGTTGTTTGTTCTTCTGGAAATCCATAGAACTTTCAATCTTCTCCCCCAATACCATAATTCAAATGCATCTGTTTTTTATCTTTCTTATTCATTGTCCAACTTTTACATGCATGTGAGGCCATTAAAATACCATGGCTTGGGTGAAGTGCACCTTAGTCTTCAAACTGAAATGTTTTCTTGAACACTTTAAAGAAGTCTTGTGCAACAGACTTGCCTAATGCAATACGTCATTTGATTTATTGCCTGCTGAGTGTAGATTGTGGAGCCAACAAAATGAAATCTTTGATAACTTGAATCTTTTCTCCATTTATCATGATGCTATTTATTGGTCCAGTTGTGAGGATTTTTGTTTTCTCTACATTGAATTTGACTTCGAGCCGCAGCGAGACGTGTAGTGTGGAG